CCCTTCCTGCATACTTGTTTGGGTAGCTCAGAGCAGGCAATAACTTTATCCTGTGGTAATGCGTTGAAACAGATAGCCAAATTCTTCCATCTTTAATTCTTCTCTTTAATTCAGAGCACAGTGATCTATACTGACCCCTCTGATTCTCCAGTTCATCCTCCAGACTCAGATGAAGAGCTAAAGGTCAAGACAGTGCACTTGGAAAGACCTTAAGGACAGCTAGTCCAGTCTGTCTAGGGCAAGTTGAATTACACCCCATATTTTGGGCCCACAAACCTTGTACTTCAGCTGCTTACAGCAGTGAGCCCTCGTGTGGGAGACGTGGGGCTCTAAACCTGTGCGGGTGACTCGGACCGTAATCGCCAGCTAATGTGGGAAGCAGTGAGGAGCAGGAGATCTCTAATACTCTGTCTCTGATGTAGGTAATGCCTGTAACCACAGATCTCTGCTGAACAGTGGCTTCCTCTTTATAAAGCTGGAAGCCAGCCCTCAACTGTAAATGAGAATAATCACCAAGTTCACCTTCTGGTTCCTCCCCAGGGCTGGAAGCTTCCTAAAGCAGTTTCTCACAGCGCCTAGTCTAGTTTTAAATGTCCTAGCAGTGGGACCACAATGTGCCCCTTCCCAACAGGAAACATCCTTCCTCAGTCCCATCATGCTGCCCTTAGTTCCTGCACTCACCTCACGCTCTGCACCGTCGGTTGTGTGATCGTGTAGTCAACCTCATGGGCATTTCCTTTCCCTCAGACCTGATGACTGAGATGATGGACCTCACAAGTGACCTTGTGGGCACAGGAATCCCCTTCTTGGACTACAAGTCCTATGCAGAGCGCATTTTCTTCCCGGGCCACCGTGAGTCACCACTGCAAAGGGACCTGGACATCCCTGAGTGTCGGCGGCAAACCGTGGAGCAGGGCTTGGTCCAGCTCTCCAACCTGCTCAACAGCAAGCTCTTCCTCACCAAGGTAATGCCCCTCTCTGCTTGCAGCCTGCTGTGGGGTCAGGGCCACGTCACTGGCAGCTGGTGGCAGGAAACGGGCAGCGTCTGTTGAAGTTCATTCCTGAATAGCTCCCTGCAGCACCACTTCTTCCAAGAGCCAGTAGCTGTGACTGCCTTGTTTTTAGCAGATTCACACACTGGCTTATCTCTCTCCCCACCAGTTCATCCACACTCTGGAAATCCAGCGCACCTTCTCTCCGAGAGACCGGGCCTATGTGGCCTCATTGCTCACTGTCTCGCTGCATGGGAAGCTGGAGTACTTCACTGACATCCTCAAAACACTCCTGAATGACCTTGTGGAGCAGTATGTGGCCAAGAACCCCAAGCTGATGCTGCGGAGGTGAGCGAGCCAGCCATGGTCCCACTGCTAGCTACCCGAGGGGACAGAGCCTTTCTGCCCAGCTGGCAAGTTCTGAAACTCCTGGGGGTAGGATAACATCATGGCATGGGCTGCAGCTGTAAGACCGGTGTGTGTCCAGACAACACGCATCAAACAGGAGGAAGCAGTAACAGTGATACCCCTCTGGCCAGTCAGCAATTGGCAGGGAAAATAGCAGGAAAGGTGTGAAAAGAGTAGGAAGCTGGAGCTGCCCACCCCAAATTCCTCTTCTTTTGAAGCTGCTGTACATTAACTCTCTCCTTGTGTTCAGGTACTAGGGCTCTGCCAAGTCTGCTAATCTCCCTTTGCTGTTTAGAGGTCCCTGCGCTCGCGGTAATGCCATGTTGGGAAGCTAAACTGCAAGATCTCCTGTGTTTGGATCCCGTTTAGCCTCCTGTCCGGTCTGTCCCTCTGATCTGAACAAATTTCCCTCGTTTGAGATCTACCAGAGCCTTTCCTCTGTCCCCTGCTTGCCTGTCTCCTCACTTCTGTCATTTGGTGCCTCCTTCAGGCTGAAAACTGTCTCAAATAAGTGGCATCAAAAGCATTAACTTTACTGGTGCCCAAAGTCCTTTTTTAACCTTCTCGCCCTTGATCCTGTATCATCATTTACTGTGCTCTTTCCTCAAGGGGAGTGATCTTTATCTCCAAATCCCTCCCTGCTGTGCACCGTATTCCTGTGACCAACTTCATGCTCTCTTTCAGGACAGAAACAGTGGTGGAGAAGCTGTTAACCAACTGGATGTCCATCTGCCTGTATGCGTTTGTGAGGGTAAGCTCTTTGTCCCTTGGTGGTGTAGAGGGGCCAAAAGAGGGGAGATGGCCACAGCTTTGCTTTGTGCCTCGCTCGTAGCTGAAATAGTGTTAGAGTCATCCTGTATTTCAGGGTGGGGAATGGGAGAGCTGGGCTGTTCGCTGGGGAGAGGTATGCTTAAATCAGCTTTAATACCACTCAGTGTTTCCAGGATGTTTCACCAGATCATGGAAGGCTCAGTGTAGCTCCTTTTATTTTGGGACACGCTGGCCATAGGCTGGTCTGTGCGTGGGGAGGAGAGATTCTGATCTAATCCCTTTCCTGGAGAGGGGGTGGCAAGGAGAGTCTCTCAGATTAGTGATGCAGAGGCAGAGCAATGGCTTGGTCTTGTGCATCCGCCTGGTAGTTGGCCCGTGCGCTTTCCTTGTGCACGGAGCAGGAGCTGTCAGCGGAGGCTCTGTCTTTGCCTGCTGTGGCGTAGCTGCTGCATCCTCAGTCCTGCTTCTCCGCTGTTTGGGTGTCCGTATTTCCAAGCCATTGGGCCCTGCTGGGAGGAGGAAGCTGAATTTCTCCCAGGTGAAACTCCTTCCTTTCTGTGTCAGGACTCTGTTGGGGAACCACTTTACATGCTGTTTCGAGGAATCAAGCACCAGGTGGACAAAGGGCCAGTTGACTGGGTGACAGGGAAGGCCAAATACACCCTAAATGACAACCGCCTTTTGAGAGAGGACCTGGAGTACCGGACTCTGGTAAGCACCAAATCTTTTGTTCCCTCTGGGCTCTCTGATGGGACAGGGCTGAATGTCTCTCCTCCTATTATTGAGGCAGAAGTGCAGCGTCCTGCCTCTGTCTCCTGAGAGCCAGGTTTATCCCAGCAGCACAACTCCATAGCCAAGCAAGAGCTCTGTTAAATCAGGCACTTTTGCCCTAGGCTGATAGGAGCCATCACCACGGTAGTCTGGTCTATGTGCTGTGCTCTGTGTCTAGAAATGAGGGGATGAAATTGCTGATGGCACATGAAAGCCCTTCCCAACACTGTTGAACTGGCTTCCAGCTCTTGACATAAGACTGAGAACACCTGTGATGTTTTCTTTTCTGAGACTCTTCCAGTGAAAGGACTAGCTGTTAACTTGCCTTAATGCCAACTATCAAAGGTGTAAATGTGTTAGATGTAATTTTATCAGCTGAGTAGCTGCGACCTTTTCTTTTCTTTCCCAGACCTTAAACGCTTTGACGCAAGCAGGAGTTGCTGCAGGAGGGGCAGAGGACTCCCAAGGGATTTCTGCGAAAGTGCTAGACTGTGACACTATAACACAGGTGAAGGAGAAAATCCTAGATCAGATCTATAAAGGGACGCCATACTGTCACCGACCAGACCCAGACACCCTGGACCTCGGTGAGCAGAACCTCTTGGTGCCAAAACTCAGTGAGGAAGTGGAAGAGTGGTCGTTTGCTATCTGTGCACAGCACCCTGGCGTGCATGACGTTTGTCGTTCTTTGCTGAGTGTGCAGAGTCACTGAGCAAAGGTCTTGCGCTCTGGCTGGGCCCAACAGGGCATGATGCAGGAAAGAGGCTAAAAGCAACAGGTAGGCGTGGGAAAGAAGCAATTGGGTCCAGCCCCTTCCACTTCATGGTGTCCTTTGCCAGACTTTGGACCATGGCAATGGCTTAGGCAAGGGGACACAGGGAAGAAAAGCATGGAGAATGTGTAGGAGGGGAGGACGATTTGAGTGTGATGCAGAGATGCTGTAGTCATAGATTGGCTCTTCCTGCCAGTGAAGTCAATGGTAGTGTCTCAGTCACGTATGTCAGGGAGGATTTTGCCCACAGTGGTTGATGAAAGGTACAACTTATGTTCTGAGGGAAGCCACTTGGTTTTCTATCTTCATTCTTTGGCTGTTGCTGAATAGCGGTGACATTTATAGATAGGCAGGTACCAGGGAAATAGCAGGTAATAACGACAATGGGTGCGTATTTGTGGTTTGAATCACCTGCTTGAAGAGTCACAATCCGACAGAATTCCTAGGAACTTGGCAAGTGTCAGATGAGAGACGTGGGCAGCCAGGCGGCCGTCTGTCCCTGCGCTCTAGGAGACTGTCCTGTGGCTGTGGGACTCTCTGCTGTTACAGGTGCTTGCTCAGATTATGCTGTCTGGGAAACAGCATGGATAAAGGTTGACCAGGATCAGTGGGTGTGTAACAAGGGATATGGCAGGTCAGAGCAAGGCAGGGGTCTCGCAGGTGCTGTGCTCTGAAGCAGGACCACTACTAGAACTAGATTTTGCTGTTCACTCTCCAGGAGAATGTGGAAATAAGAGGGACAAGTGACAGGAACTTTGAATTATCCTGGAGATGGAAAGCAAACTTGAAAGGGTTTAAGAGCTTAACATCTTCAGCTTGTCGAAGAGGAGGCTGATATGTGACTCAATGCCTTTATAGAGAAAAATATCTGACATTAAAGACTTTCTGGCCTTAAGTTCTGAGAGTCTACAGACATTTCTGTTAATCCTCTTCCTTCGGGGTGGTGGATAGACTGAATGGGCAAATCATGCCCCTTTTATTCAGGACAGTCAAACCTGAAGTGGTCTCTGAAAAGCTGCAGAAGAAAATTTTGTTATTCGATAACTGGGTAAAAAACCTCAGTGCCAGTAAAGGCAAGGGATTTACGTGCAGAAAGTTAATCCTGGGTGTGTTTATGTACACAGATGGTTTGGATGCACGCGTCACAGCAGTGCATCTGTGGGAACTTTCTCCTATTCCCTGACTATTGGGCTGATGAACTCCCAGCCCTCCTGTGATGCTGATGTAGCTTGAGCATTACTCTTCTCTGGTGTAGAGTTCCGCTAGTTCAGGTTGAAGCACAACAGACTTCAGAGATGCCTCAACTTAACAGTTTGTCTTTCCATTGTTCTGTGTTTTAATGGCTGTAGAGTGGAGATCAGGGCTGGCAGGTCATCTGATCCTGTCCGATGAGGATGTGACATCTGTTGTTCAAGGAACTTGGAAACGCCTGAACACTCTTCAACATTACAAGGTCAGAACTCAGTTTACCATTGCTTTGTCTCTCCTCTTGTCTTCTACAGACTGTTATGCTCTGCTTGTGGCTCTGGCTCCTGGTGGATCACTGTCAAAAAGCTGGAGCTTTCTTGCAGCAGCATATTCAAATTAAGTCAGTGCTGTGGCCTGCACTCTGACTTCAACAAGCATAGCCCCCTCCTTAACCTGTACCTGAGACACAGGCAGGTGTAGAGCTTGGAAGGAGACACGCAAGTTCATGCCTGGTGGCTGTTGCAATGAAGGCAATGCTGCTGGATCCGTTAATGTTCCAGTCCAAATCAGTTAGTAGGTGATGGCGCACTGATCTGCAAAGTAGCTTCTAGGACTGGAAAGAGGGGGTTTTTTTGAACTGCCTTGCACCAACGTGTCATATCTTGCACCTTGCTGCAACATGTCCTAAACGTGGATGACCCCAGTCCCTGAGTATTATCGTCTTCATCATACTTTGCACATCAGGTTTTTAATTGGTACAAACAAGATTCTCCCACCATCGGGAAAGACAGTGATGGTGCCTCAAAATCCCTGTTTCTGTCCCTATTTCTAGCAATGGTATAGTCTGTTTTGGTCTACAGGTACTTGCCTGTTGTGCCGATGAGAAACATGCCATTTGTTTTGAATGTTGATTTTTGCTTGTGTGCAGGTGCCCGATGGAGCAACAGTAGCACTGGTCCCACGCCTGACCAAGCACATCCATAGGGAGAATCAGGATTACATCCCAGGAGAGAGTGAGTTTGACGTCCTGTTCTCATAAAATGATTTTCTAGCACTTATCAGTTAGTGGGACAAGTCTCTTGCCTTAGCCCCAGCTTTATGCTGCTCTAGAAGGCTGATAAATGATTTGGACCCTCATAGGATTGTCAGGAAATTGAAAGCTTGGGCAGGTGAGATGAGAGCAAAGCAAAAGTGTAAGAGCAGAGGAAAGCCAGGCCGGGCACAAAAATGCAGGATAAGCACAATTCTCTAGTTCTGACTCTCTAGGGCTGAGCGCGGCATGCAACTTGTAGGAATCTTAATACACTCAGGTGCTGAGCGTGGCCCAAGGGTGGTGATGGGATGTCAGGCAGAGTGAACAGCTCTGTGGATATTCCTGTGGCATGAGGGACAATAGCCACAGGCTGCAGCTTAACGGGTTCAAATTGGACATGGGGAAAAAAAAAAAAAAACTTCTTCAGCAAAAGGGTGGTGCAGCCCTTGAACAGGCCACTGGGGTAGGGGGGAATCTCTGTCTGGGGAAGTTTCCAAGACCTTGAAGGTTTTGGATGGACAAAGGCAACGTGCTGTAGTGCAGGCAACAGTTGTACTCTGTGCAGAAGGCTGGATAGAGGCCTCCAGAGGTTTCTTCCCCTTTGTGTTTCTCTCCTGTGAAATCTTGCTTCCTTGGGGATCAATCTGGCCAAGCTCTACTGTGAGAGAACTGACACTCATCTGTAAACAATTGCTTGTTTTAGAAACGCCAATGCTGGAGGATGCAGATGAAGGTGGGATCAAACTTTGGCACCTGGTAAAACCGACAGAAGAGCCAGAGCTTCCCAAGCATCGGCGTGGGAGCTTAAGAGATCGGGAGCGAGCCAAGGCAATCCCGGAGATCTATCTGACACGTCTACTCTCAATGAAGGTGAGAAGCAGCACAGATTGTGTCGTGCTCGGGATCTTGCCTTCCTTCATATCCCCTGGCAGATTGCAGGGATGAGTATGAAGATGAAGAGCCCGTTTGCCTGGATTGATGCACGTGCTGGTTGTTTCCCCTCCAATCCCAGCACTGCAGTGCCAAACTTCTGCTCCTACTAACGGGTTAAGTCTTGCAGAGCCTCTAAGAGAGTGAGAAATGGTTTTATCCCTGTGTCCACCCCATGTTTCTCTTTGTGTGTCCCACAGAAAAAAGCAGGTATCCTGTGCTTCACAGCAGAGTTTCTTTGGCAGCAGTGTCCACTGAGCTGCCTTATCTGCTCCCCTTCCACCCCACCCAGGGCCAAGAAGATAGGACTGACCTGTTACCTGCTGCAGCAAGATGATGCTAATAGTACACACCAGCCGTGTACAGATTCAGCTGCAGTCATAAATCAGGCATAGCGCCTGCTCACATTCTCCTTTTTGCTTTATTCCGGTGTCATTGTTAAAAAATTGACCCGGGAACTTGTCCCTCTGCTCTGTTCTCAAGAAAGGATCAGCTTTTGGCATCCAGCTTCCCCAGCAATGCCCTGCTTGCAGTAGTACTGTTTCTCAGGGGACAGCCCAGGCACTTTGCCAGGCAGTGCCTGTGTTCTTCCCACGTTTACTGAGCTTCCTCTTGCTGCTGACCAAACCCCTTCTCCCTGTTCCTGTCTGGCTGAACCCAGCTGCCGGCAGCGAGCTGTTCCCCTGCACTAGGCGGTCTCTGCGGTTCAGTGCCATTCCATCGCGTTGCAAGCTCTCCTCCCTGTAGCAAAATCCCTTTTACCTGCGGAGGTTCTGAGTACATCTGACTCCCCTCTGCATTTTGCTTTGTTCGTGAGCTTCTCCCTGGCCTCTGTTCCAGAAATCGCTGGGGCCTCCTTTCTCCTTTGCCGCTGCTGCCTGCAGTGGAGGGGAGGTGACTTTAGACCGGTGAGGGGAGGCTGCTGAGCAGCAGAGGGTAACCTCTCGTCTGCGTGAGGCCTGGGCTCTGACTCCGTCCTGCTCGGTTCTCCCCAGGGCACTCTGCAGAAGTTTGTGGATGACTTGTTCCAGGTGATCCTCAGTACCAACCGCCCTGTCCCTCTGGCAGTCAAATACTTCTTTGACCTGTTGGATGAGCAGGCAATACACTACGGGATCGCAGACCCTGAGACCATCCATATCTGGAAGACAAACAGGTACGGTGTTCCTGTGGGCCCTGCTAAGCTGTCTGGAGCTGATCACTCCCAAAGTGACAGCCACCTTCGCCTGCTGAGGAGGAGCAAAATGGGAGCGCAAGGCAGCAGAGCATGGTGTGAAAAGCTGGTTTTGCTGGGAGGGCAAAGCTGGGAGATGCAGTAACGTGTGGAATATCTTCCACCACCGTAGCTGCTGCCTTTGCTGATACCCCGTTGCGCTTCTGTCTTCTCCGCAGCCTGCCCCTGCGGTTCTGGATCAACATCATCAAGAACCCCCAGTTTGTTTTTGATGTGCAGACGTCGGATAACGTAGATGCTGTGCTCCTGGTCATTGCGCAGACCTTCATGGACTCCTGTACAATAGCTGACCATAAGTTAGGACGGGTAAGTGCAGAGGGAGAAGGGAGCGTGGTGGGCACAGACAGTTGAGCAGCGCTGCCCCAGGAAGGCAATAATGTTTATGTGGCACCACTGGGACAGCAGGCCAGGCCCATCCTTGCTCCCATGTGCCACTGGAGCACCGGAGAGTGATGGGGACTCCTGGGAAGAGAGGAGGGAGGAGCTGGTTTTGTTTAGCGTAGAAGAAGTTGTTGAGGGGTGCTCTTTATTTACAGCTTTACAGCTGCTTGGGGGACAGAGCTAAACTCTAGCTGGCTGTGGCAGACAGCGTAAGTCACAGGACCCATCTTGGGAGATTCAGGTTGGCCATTAGAAAAACTTTTTACCACCATTACTCACCCTGTGCTGAGGACGGACCAGTCCTGCACAGGTCACCAGAGATGGGATGGGTGGATCTCTGGAGGCTGGAGGATTTCAGGAATCAGCTATGGAAAGCCATAGCCAATGTGATCTCATACTGGTGATCGCCCAGCTCCAAGTGGAAGGCTGGACTAGGGATCCCAGAGGTCCCTTCGACGCATCTCATGGTTCCTCAGACTGCATTACTAGAAGGGAGCCTGGCATTTGAAGTGCCTCTCTAGGCAGAGGACAAAAATTGCCTATCCCGAATGAATGCCAGAAGATAGCAGGGATGGTGTTACCTGCTAAGGTCAGTCCACAGCAGGATGAAGGAGCTTTTTGTAATCAGTTCTGGTTTTGGATGTTCAAGGACTCTCCGATCAATAAGCTGCTCTATGCCCGGGACATTCCTCGCTACAAGCAGATGGTGGAAAGGTAAGCGATGAATGTGAGGAGTCGTAGTTTAAGCAGTAAGGAGGAGGTTAGGAGGAACAATATGCTAATTGCCTGTGTACCACTGTATAGGTATTATGCGGACATTCGTCAGACCATCTCTGCCAGTGACCAGGAGATGAACTCTGCCCTGGCTGAGCTATCACGGGTAAATAAAATTATTTCAGAAGTCACCCTGGCCCCTCACCTGTGTATCTAAGAGAAGGTTAGTAATGCAAAGATGAGATATTCCAGCTGAGTGTGCAGCTCTGTTCAGACGCTGACCGTTCCCAGGGGCTGCTCTGCTTTGTGGCACCACTGGGAGGGCGAGGGTCTGCCCAGCTGGCACTGAAAAGTGTGGTCAAGGATTCAGGGCAAGGAGTACGTGTGATTTTTCCTTTGCTAGGAACCATTGGTGAATTCCCTTTCCTGTTGCTTTGTGCAACAGGCACATTTCCTAATGAGTTGTGAGGACGCAGAATTTAGACGAACAATTGTTAGGTGTCTCACCGTTTTGTCTAACTTCCTCTCTTATTCAGAATTACTCAGGTGACCTCAATTCCCTGGTGGCTCTACATGAATTGTACAAATACATCAATAAGTACTATGACCAGGTGAGTGTGTGTTTCCAGCAGGTACGAACATGCCCTTCTCCTTTTACCATTCCATCAACAGAACTCCAAAAATTAATAATTAAGAGCAGCCAGACGATTACAACGCTGTGTATTGTTTCATTGGCATGCCTAACTCCCATGTTGTAAGTTTGCTTTATTCTTGTCAAAGAGGGAGGGAGGAAATCCCAAAAAAGGACTTCTCTCTAACTTGGAGGCTGTTGGGATTTCATGTATGCTTCTTTTTTTTTTGACTCTGGTATCCAATACTCTACTTAAAAATGAAATGCGGTTAGTTCAGATTCATTTACTAAAAATATCATTTTCAGATGAGAAGTTTAGCATTCTTTTTGCACCGTGAAGTTTACAAGTTATTAGGATGAATCTAGAATACTCACTTTGTGATTAATTTGAGATGAACTACTACATACCCGCTCTAGTCTTGAGCACGCTGGATTCCAGCGTGAGGCTCTCGGCTGTGCGTGGCGTGGAGCTGGTTGACAGTGCTGTGTGCTGGAGAAAGGCTGCCAGTCAGCTCTGTCTCCTTGCAGATCATTACCGCCTTGGAAGAAGACCCAACGGCACAGAAGATGCAGCTCGGATATAGACTACAACAGATCGCAGCAGCTGTGGAGAATAAAGTCACAGATTTGTGACAGGCGCAGACAGACTGCTCTCCCCTGGCTGAGCGGGGACAGTGCTCGTCCTAACTGTACACAGGGTGTCCTGCTGCCATTGGAACCAGGCTCTCCAAGGAACCCGCGGGTGACATGAACAGGGATGGCCAAGGCAGTACAAAGTACAAGCGTCCTTGCATCTCAGAGAATATTTTTTTACAGTTTTTTCTTTTTAAAAGCAAAACAAAACAAAAAAAAAAACCCAAACGTTGGTTTTCCTCTGGCAAACTGTCAGGAGGACCATACAGCTCCTTCCTACAGATGTTACGTGAATGTGCCAAGTTTGCAAACACCGTTGTTGACGAGCCAGGTGATGACGCCGAGCACCGTGTCTGTGGAGCCCTCGGCCTCGCACGGGTGCCCTTGCCGGTGCCAGGAGACTGCCCCGCTGCAGCCGCTCACTTCAGCGGGGACGCAGGCAGCTTTCCCCAGGCTGGCAGCTGTGCTAACCTCTGTCCCCGGCTAGCGAGCGCTCCTGCAGTCTCCCACCTGAGAAACTTCCTTGCAGCAACATCCCCACTGGTTCCAGATGTTGGATGTAGAAAGGAGAGAGCGTCCGATGGCGAAGGTCTCTTGCTCCCCAGCGTTCTGGTCTCTGACAGCTCGTGCGCGGCGCCTGCTTGGATGTAACGTGCTCACCAGCACGCGCGCTTGCCCAGGGGCCTACTGTAAATGGACAGCACCCCTCGCCCTTTCCCTCGGGACAAATTCAGCATGTGGGAGTCGCTGCCTGGCTTGCCTCAGTCTCCGCTGGCCCAGCTCGGGATCCATCCTGGTTCCTTGCGGTCAGAGGTTGCCCTGCTCTTTGGAAAAGCACAAATGCCTTGTGCCACGTCCCCTTCCTCCGGTGTCTGGCTGTTCTGCTGCTCTGAACTGGACTTGTAAATACCCTCAGAAAGTTAATGTATTTAAATGTTAAAGGAGAATGTTTAATTTTGTGGCTTTGAGACAAAGCTTTTCTTGGAGAAGTATCTCTGTGCACTTCTACTGACAAACGTCTGTCAGCACTGGAGCAAAGTTTTCTCCACTGCTTTGTCTGCAGGGATAACTCGTAGATGTCTCCGTTGTCGTAACAGCAGCTCGCTTTTCCCCGCAGCTCAGTTCAAGGCTTAGCCCTGTGCTCTTCTGTTAGGCTTGCCTTACACCTTACTCACAGTTTCACTTCCCAAACTCTCCTGTTGTGGCACGTAGAAGGGCTATTTGGTGAGCTGTGAACTCGAGGAAGCCGTGAAGCACAACTGCGTTGTTCCCAAAGAGCGTCAGGTATCCTGCAAATAGGAATGATTCATGGAAGGAAGGAGAGGCTGGAGCAGGCACAAGCATGGTTAGTTCCCAGCTGTCGCCGGGCAGCTCCTCGCCGTTCCCTCCACAGTTCCCGCGCCTTGCGAACAGAGCCCTCTGCCCTTCTGGGAGCGAATTCCTATTTATAAGGGTGCCCTACTCGTTCTCACCCCCCGCTGCTCATTCCACGCTGATGTCCTGCGTGCCTGGGGCAGGCAGACAGGTCTGACTCCCCGTCACTTCCCTGGGCTGGTGGCTGTGCGGGGCCAGGAGGGGCCAGAGCTGAAACAGGGCAGGATCACGTCCCTACCTCTCTTCACGTTGCAGACAGCAGTAATTCCAGGCCTATCAGATCAGCCCTGTGGCTTTGTGCAAGTGCTGCGCAGTTGCAAAACTGTTCTCTGAGCAATATAACAACAAGCTAACGCTGGCGCCTCTTCCTACAAAGCCAGCTCTCTCCTGCGACCCTCTCTCAGCAGTATTCCCAGGTGCTCTGTGCACCCAGGGTACGGCCGACATCCCTGCGCCGCCTCCTGCTCCGGTCCCGCTGCAGGGAGCCGCAGGCGAGCTGGCTGGCTGCTGCCGGGCAGAAAGGACGGGGGCAGAGTTTGCCTCTCTTCCCCCAGGTGAGCACCAGTTTGGGTCTCGCTCCTGCCTGACCACCCATTTCTATAAAACTTATGGGAACTTAGCATCTCTGAAACCTCTGTCTCGACCAAATCTGATTAAATCAGCCCAAAAAAAGGTGGGTGGAGGAAAGGGCTGGCAGATGGGAAAAAGCAGATACAATGCGCATTCGTGAAGCCCATTCCCTTAGGAACTGCAGGAGGCGACTCCTTGGTTTGAGGCAGGTGTGGGTATAGTGGCCGAGTAGCGTTGTCCCCTTGTGCGGTGACGGATGGACTTTCTGCCCCAGGCAGCAAGGCGTAGTTTGTGGCCTCTCCGACTTGCTGAGCGTCTGCCAGGAGCCGCAGGCTCTCTGCTGGATTTATGGCTCTGCAGGCTGTTCGTGTCTGCCCCTATTTTTGCAGAATTATCTCTGCGCTTTCCCAGAACAGAGTGGCTTGGGGCTTGACTCTGGATCCGCCTCCCATCGGCAAAGGGAGGAGGACTTGGTGGCTCTCCTGGAGTCCGGGTGTCCCCGCTGAGAGCGCAGCCTCTGCCCACGCGGCCGACGTGGGCCGTGGGGTAAGTGGGCTCCAGATCCTCTTTGCTTCTCAGTAGTGCTCCGGGATGTTGGAAACAACCTGCTTCCTCCGAGCGTATCTGTGAAAGTCTTTTATTAGAGCAATAATCAAGACTTAAAATAGAGCTAAACGTAGGTGATTGACTTATTTAACATCTTGAGCTTCTCCTTGCATAGCCGGATAGGAGGCGCTGCCCGGCGCGGGTGCAGTGAGGGCGGAAGGCCGGTGGTGCCCATCCCTTCCCATCCGTCTGTCCTCAGTCTTCTAGACACCGGCGTCCTCCTCCCCTGCGGACACGCGCCGAAGGCCCCTTGCTGGGACCAACTTGGGTGTTTAGGCATGGCCCCTCTTCTCTCCGTCCGTGCCCCTCTCCTGTGGCAAAATCCGTTCCTACGACAGGGTTCTGTTGCATTTAAATTTGCACAAAACAGGTTTTATGATGAAATTCCCTATGGTGGGGAAGACTTATTTATTTATTTCTCATGATCCTTCCAAGTTTCTTCCAGTCTCTGCCTGATTCCACGACCAGCTCGGCAGACACTCCGGAGACGGATGTTCCTTCTCAAGGACGGAGAATCCTCTCTGGATGTTCCCGTTTTCTTACAGGTAGCGAGTTCTGTGGGCACCGGCTGAGAGTGCCCTGCCACAGCGCCCGTCCCCCTTCTGCAAGACACAAGTTCAGCAAGGGGATGTCGCGGCTTTAATCGTATTCTCGGAAAGATGATGTTCTTCAGCAGCAGGCAGGCAGATTTATTTAGTACCGCGGTCAGAGAAAGAAACTCGCTTCCACCGTGGTCTGGGTGAAACGCCGAGAACTGATCAGTATTAAGATAAATATCCGTTAGCGTATTTGAGTGTCTCTCCTGTTGGCACAACTAAGAGTAGCCGGCACCCCGGTGATGTTAGATGTGAGAGCGCTTGCTTTCCGCTGTCTGGTGGCAAATTTAGGCTGTACCTGGAAGCCTTTTGTCTTTTTTTTTGGTAGAAATTGATGGCTAATTTTTTTTTTTTTTAATGAAAATAGAGGGTTGTCGGATGCTGCTGCCTCGGTGGAATGCCATTTCTTTTTCAGGGTGTGCCCCGGTTGCAGCGAGATGCTGCTTTTTTTGGTGCCTTTCTTGTCGGGATGATTCTTTCGGTTTCCAGAACACCCAGTGTGTTTGCTCTGACAGTCCTTCTCCCGGTCCCCTGTCCTGGTGACTCTGCCCTCTCCCAGCCTTGTGATTTGGTGTCTCCCTGGCTGTTACGGTATGGCCTGACCTGCATCTCTGCCCTGCCACACCTTGAGTTCTGCTCAGAGCACCCGAGGTACTGTTTTTCTTAAATTGGAATTAATAATTAATATAAAAAGCTTGAAAAAAAAAAAAAATCTGAATTTTGTTACATAGTGTAATAACTGTTTGTAGATACTGTTCTGAGATGTAGGAATCTATTGGTGATAAAGCGGTTTTGTCTGTAAATAATCAGTTTAGAGTCCAAATGATTTTAATAAAGAGAATTCTTACACAATAATTCAATAAATTTTAATATACAACCGGCGTGTCATGCTTGTCTTGCGCGATGATGCAATTGCCCAGAATCTATTCGCCTCTTTTTTTTTTTTCTCCTCCCAAGTGGAAATCGCGTCCCCCCGAGCACCAGGCCGGGGGAGCCGTGCCAGGGGCATGGGGCTTTCCGCCGTAGCCCAGGAGCTACCGCCAGAATTGCTTGGAGGTAACCTTGTGCCAGAATTGCTTGGAGGTAACCTTGTGCCGCCTTCCCCTGCCGCTCCTACGCGGCGGCACTTCTGCCGTCCCTGCCGCAGGAGGACGGAGCGCGGCTCCTTTCGCACCTCCCGCCGCAGGAGCCACCGGTCGCTACAGCTCTGGTTGTGCTTTTCCACGGTGGGTGAGCGAGGAGGGGGTTCCCTAAGGTACGGTTTTGACGTTGCTCGCTGTTGTCCCCCAGCGTGAGGCAGCAACCAGCCTTCCTAAATTAGCAAAACAACTAAATTCTTAAACTAATTGCACGGTTCTTCCCAGACATAAAGCTGGCTCCTGGCCCATCTCTCCTGTCTTTCCCTCTGCCTCCCCTTCCTTTACTCACAGAGTTCTGGATGCAGCCTGCTTCTCCCCGCCTTATCTATGTCGTGCCACTGCTTCGGTCCCTCCTTTC